AAAATATTTTACTTGTTTTAAGATATTTTCATGTCCAAAAGTCACTAATAATTTAGATGAAAACCAAAATGAAAGTTCGAACGCAGCAAAATGACCCAGAATTGGCGATAAACAACAATTTTAATTGTGAAAATTAGCACTCTTTCTCTCTTCCTCTCTCCCTCTATCATGCTTATCTCTCTATCCCTCTCTATCACCCCGTCAAGGTCTCGGCAGGGGGATTACATTGTTAGCTCTAGGAGTAGTGAAAGGCAAATGGGGGTTTCAATTTTCATCATGCGTGATTTCTCATATTTTGTTATTTCAATATTCTCATCATTTAATTATTTTTGTCTTCTATAAATCCTGATTGGTGTTTTAAATGGTACATTTAATCACCTCAATATCTTAAACTATTTTGTTTACCCTGTTTTTGTATAGTTTAGCTTTATAATCTTTTTAAAGATGTCTGACTCTAAGGCATCCAGAACCATGGGCATCTTGAGGAGAAATCTCGGCTCCTGCAGCAAGAAAGTGAGGGAAACCGCCTACAAGACCCTAGTTCGGCCTCAACTTGAATACTCCTCATGTGCATGGAATCCACATAAACGGCGTAATACCAACTTGCTGGAAGGAATCCAGAGGCAAGCTGCACGTTTTGTCACCCAAGACTTTAGAAGGACATCGAGCGTCTCAGACATGATTTCTCTACTGGCCTGGAATACTCTTGAACAACGAAGAATCTTTGCCCAGTGTGGAATGTTCTTCAAAATCCACAAGAACTGGTATTCACCCAGTCTTGCACCAGAGAGAGCTACGTGGACACACCACACACCCATTTATTTTTCACCAGCTTCCCTGCAGAGTGGACTGCTATAAGTACAGTTTTTTCCCCCGAGTTATTCCCATATGGAACAGACTCCCAGCAGTAGCTGTAACATCTAGCTCGATTGCTGGTTTTCAGACCTCCGCAGTCCCGTCCATCATAGCCATGATGGGCATGCCCACCAGGGCCCTGTAGGGAGGGAAGCCATGAAGCCGACATTAATGTTCTCACCAGATGCACCCTACTTCTTCGTACTCTCCAGTTTACATGTCTTCTTCTGCACAATGTCTGGCTTCTTTTACTTGCACGCATAACACACTCACACACTACCACTATTACTCCACCCTGGACAGCTGTCAACGTAGCTTTTTGGGTGCAACAAATTCAAGATTCAAGATTCAAGGCAGAGCTAGTGAAGTTTCTGGCCGAACAGGTGGCCAAAGAAGAAGAGTCCCATAAGAGTTCAACCATGGTTCCACCATTGTTCCACCATGATTCCACTTCCATTTCCCTCGGGACAAGAGTTGGGACTGCTGTCAGTTGTTCAGGCAACGCTCTCCGCCTGGTAGATGTATTGAGTACTATATTGAATGACGACTCATGTTTATTATTTGTACTTTATATGAACATATATTCTTTTCTTCTATTCCTTGATATTTTTCTCCTTCTCTATCATTTATTGTGTACTTGTACAACACATTGTAAAGCTTTGCATGTAAGCTATTTTGTAAGAATTGTTTGTTTGAAATAGAAAATGCCAGTTGTCACACTGGGAATTTATTATCGGTGTACCTTTGACACTGAATATTAATAAATACCTCTTTGGAATCATTGGCACAAAATATATGTTTCAGACTTATGTATTTTAATGGATCTCCGTGTTTACTAATCTTAATTAATTGAACCGGCGCAGGCATAGAAGGCCTGTGTAACATACAGTATATATTAGAATAATAGTAACATTGCAGTACAGCATACTTGAAAGAATGATAAAGGTGAATTGAAAATGTGGAGGGGAACTGCAATTCTAACAAACTGTTTTCAATGCATACCAAATGAAATATAAAATATTGTCTCAAAAAGGTTGACATGCAATAACTATTTAAAAGTCTCTTCTGTAATTGCCAAAGAAATCAAATATCTCAGCTGTAAGAGTGATTGCTTGCATAGAACTTGATGATGCTTTGGTGAACTCATGTGGGAAGACACAAAACGTCTGCTGTGGCGTGATATGACAAAGTCGTATATTATGATCAAGACGTTTCTCTGATTTCAAAGGGTTTCATCTCTTTTTGTCCATTGTAAGAAGAAAAATTAAAGCCACCCACACACCCTAAAACCATAATTTGTATAAAGCATTTACAGATGTTTGTAAAAGGCCTGGGAAATATGAGATCAAGTTTGAAATATTGATGTTTATTCAGGGACAGTAACATACCAAACTCTCTGGAAACTATTCTGATGTTGTTCTGACATTGCTTGATAAAAGAACGTTCCCATTGCTATTCACCCTTTTGACATCCTGCCGTGTATTGCGGTGCGCAACCTCTTGCGTATCTGAAAACACACTGTCGTACATATGCGCAAGACTACTATGTGCTAGGATGTACGCAATACTGTTCTTCTATGTGAAGATTCCTGTGAAGGAATTGGGTCCAGGCCCTCGAGGGGAATATGAATTTATGGTCAATTAGATTCAGCTCGTTTGGTAGAGATGACATGTTTGAACTCTGATCTCTCAGCTTCCACAATTTGCCTCAAATGACAAAGACATTTTAGTTAATCTTTTTTTTTCTTCTTCACTGGTCGCTTTTCTCATTGTTAAATCTAGTGTGTTTTGAAAAAAGCTACACCATTATCATGAAAATTGATCAGGGCCCCGTCTGATAAAGAGTTGTGATTCATCCAAATCAATCAGTCCTCCAATCAATCGCATGTTTGCAGTTTCCTATGTCTTTTGTAAGTGGTTATTGATTGATTGATATCAATTCGCAACTGTTTGTAAGACGGGGCCAAGGTATTTGATTGACCTGATAGTTATCCACCCTAGACACCATTTACGTCTAATGACAACAATTTTGAAATAATGTTTTGCCCTTATCACTCTACTCGCTGGTGAATCTAGTGAGTTTCGGTCTGTCATTATGAAGAAAAATTGTACCTCAGATATTAAAATTACTTTATAAAGTAATCATTAAAAACAGAATTGTTCTAGACATACAGTATGTACATGATGAACATGTATCCAAAAAGCGAGTTAGTTCAAAAACATCAATTGGTTCATAAATCTGAATAGCACCAGGTGTCTTTCTTTCCATTATTTTACAATTCATGAAAATCTTGTAACTTTACAGTGCAATCTTTATTGAGATTTATGACATTTTTATTAAGAATTATGAGATTTATTTGAGGATGTCAGGTATAGATTCAATAGTTATAAAAACAGTCGTATTTCTTCATATTGAAATGCTTTACAAACAAAAAATGTTTTGGTTTCATGATAATTGGGCCCCTCCATTAAAAATGCTTCAGGTTGAACTCTCAGGAGAGGTAGGAAATAAGGCCAAGGCCAAACTAGATGTTCTTTTCTTGAGCTCATCAGGGTTTGTAAATACCCTTGCTACCCATCAAACTGTCAATGTGTAATGCACACTCTCACATCCATCCATCCATTCCTTTCAATCAAAGAATGGCTTGGGAATTGTGCAATAATGACAAATGCTTCAATGACAATCGCTCCATGGTCAAATACATAACATAAATCAAAGTCCCTTCATTTTTCCTTCTATTTATTTTGTTACTTTTTAAATTTTATGGTGGTATCATGCGGCATCCCACAGGGAACAGAGTTAGGACCAGTCCTTTTTTTTGTATAATCCTTGTTAATGATGCTGTATGTATCCCAACTTCAACCCTGGATGAAACATACATACACTGTAGGCACAGTACTTAAATGTCCTCATGTCCAATGGGCCAGCTATGCATTTTGTGTTAATACACTTAATTTAGTCCATGTGGAGGTTTTAATCACGATTTAGACCTTGGGTTAAGGTAGCTTAGAGAAATGGAGTTGCATGAAAAGACGCTTCTGTTTTCGTGCCATTACATTTTGCTAAACTGCCTAAAAGAAATCTCCTTTGTGACTGTTGGCCTATATCTTTCAAGATATAGAGCACAGACCACAGAGGTAATGTTAATCAAGCCTAAATCTGATCACCGGTAGGGGACCGGTGGGCAGAGGGGCTTTGATTTCAGCTGATGAACATTTGAAAGATGTGTATGCTTCTAGGAATTCTGATTCATAAGGCAACCATCAGCTGGTTTGGATGTTGAGCAAAATGAAACGTCAAAGGTCAACTTCAGTGACCCTTGACCTCTGAACTGATTTCTACCTGCAAGAATTCCTTTGATCTGATATCTTATTACTTAGGACCATAATGATATGGATGAAAAAGTTTTCTTTATTTAACCCTGAAAGCGCAATTGGCAGTTTTTAACACTCCTATTCTAATAAAGTATCAAAAACAGTCAAGAACATTTCTTTTTCTTCTTCTTGAAATTGAAAGTAGGCTCATAAACAGATAATCCAAGCCTATACATGTATGCTGTCCTCTGAAAACATTCAAGCTAATTTTAAACGAAAGGGATAATAAGTTGTTCCAAGAATATTAAACCTGTTGCACTTTAAATAGAAAACCACAGTTTCTCTAAAAGTTTCATTTACAGTTGTGAGATGCCAAACAATTGTGAGGTACAACAAATTCTTACCAGCAGGCCCCCCCCCCCCTTCCAAAAAAAAAGAACACTTTCCCCCCATAAATTGTTTATCTTTACACAATGGATTTCCAAAGATATTTTGAGCTTATCATTTTATGAGGAAACAGGACCATACTGAATGTGTGAGCAATGTTCTAGTGGATTATGCTGGTAATTTAATTAAACTGTATTATATTTCTTTTCCAAGAATTATTCTGTTTTTTTGTGTGTGTTCTACTTTACTTTTTTTTATAATACAGATGCTCTAATGTGATCTCTTTTTTCTTTCTTCACAAGTGCACTTTGAGCATTTGATTTTAAGTGCATTCGGCGCCTTACTAATCTCATATATTGTTATTATTATTATCATTATCAATGTTTTTGTTTGTTCATTTTTTTTTAACCACCACCTTCTTTTGATTTTTGTTATCCTCCTTAGATGAGCTGACTGGAAGTGGAGTGGTCAGCAGACCCACTATCCTCTACATCATTGTTCCCGCGGTAACGGTCATCGTTGTCATCCTCCTCATCTGTGGGTGCGTGTGCTTCTGTTGGAGACAGACCAAGTCTCAGCGCTATGGGGGCGTGGCTAGCAGGACCAGGCCTAGTGAGGTGGTGGCCCTACAACAGAAACTACAGGTCAGTTCAGGCAATATGTTTGAGACTGTTGATGTTAACTGCCTGTATCCCTATATGAATTATGAAATTACATGTACTAGACTGGCACAGTACATAGCATACATTAAACTCAAAAAGATATTGAAATACTGGCTTTACGCTGGAATATGCATCTTTGAATTTTTTAACACTTGCCATGCTACTCAAATGAATACATACATGTCACCCTAATGCCGGAAAGATGTTCAGACACTAGTTCAAATATATTTTTGGATGAATCTGTATGGGCCTCGTTTTTAGTTTAATCATTGATTTTTCCAAATCAGATGAAATTCTATGTTTAGATACATGTATATTCATTTGAGTGGCTTTAACTTGGATAGAGACAGTGCAGTTAGATAAGTTCTTGCATGTCTGTTTGTCCTCTCCTTTTCTTATATATATTACATTGTTTTGTCTCATTTCTGTCTGTCATCAGGTAAAGGAGATTCCATTGGCAGCCATCAAGTTCAGCGAGGCCCTTGGGGATGGCACGTTTGGCAAGGTATGGCGAGGAGAGCTGATGGGTCTAAACAACCAGTACAGCTGTACATCCATCGTCATCAAGACATTGGACAAGGAAGCGAGCCCCGCCCTTCAGCAGGACTATCGTAACGAGACCAGTGTGATGGCGTCCCTCAACCATCCCAACATCATCACTCTCTTAGGGGTCTGCACCAAGGAGAAGCCCAACTGTATGTTGTTTGAGTTCTTACCTCATGGTGATCTGCATGAATTCCTAGTCAGGCACTCTCCTAATTCAGACGTTGGCTTCGGGAGCGGAGACGACGACACCCAGTCCTCCTTGGATGCCTCAGATTTCTTGAACATCGCCATCCAGATCGTATCTGGCATGGATTATCTCTCTAGCAGGCATTTTGTCCATAGGGACCTTGCTGCTAGGAACTGCATGGTTGGCGAGCACCATCAGATTAAGATCACTGATTTTGGTCTGGCAAGGGATATTTATTCAGGGGATTACTATAGGATGCCCTCGCAGGCCGTTCTGCCAATCCGCTGGATGTCTCCGGAAGCTATCATGTTCGGTCGCTTCACGGTGGAGAGCGATATCTGGTCCTTTGGTGTGGTGTTATGGGAGATTTACTCGTACGGCTTGCAACCGTTCTATGGTTATAACAATAATGAGGTGATAGAGATGATCCGAACCCGTCACATCCTGCCCAGCCCTAGCGGTTGCCCTCAGTACATCTATGCACTCATGACAGAATGCTGGAGTGAAATACCTGCTAGGAGACCTCCTTTCAAGGTCATCTCCACACGCCTCCGAGCATTAGACACTGTACCTATGCACACGCAAAACGGTAACATATACGGCAACCCCGCCGCGAACTTTAACCCCCAGTACAGCGGGCTGTACTCTCCGCAAACGCACTGCAGCTCCGAGGGCAAGAAAAGTCACGGGTCGTCGGGGGGCAGCAGACACTCTCAACCCAAAATGGGTCTCGCTGACAAAGCCATGTCGGAGACCTCTAGCTCATCACATCATACAAGATCAACAGGACATGGTAAATCAGAAAAGGTGGAACAAACCGCTGTATAATAACCACTTATGTTGTCTCTTTATGATATATGCACTTGTATAAAGTTGTACTGGAATACACAGTAATTGTAACTCTCTCGTAATGCTTTGGTCTAGAATTGTCTCTATATTGCAATGTGTGAAGGCTAGAAAATAAGTTCTGCAAGTAGTTTTTCTAACGACAAAGAAATTTAAAAATGTATATTTGTGTGAATGCACTAGCATACTTGTAGGTAAATAGAGCTGATATTTGCTTCCTTGTGGCTTCATGATGTACTTAAGCAAAGGCAAAACCAAAGAATATTATCCTATGCTTATATTAAACTTTGCAACTCCGTCCTTCATTTTGTACTTGTTTTCAACCGAGTATTCCCCCTCAGTATGCTATATCATGTAGATACAAGTCAGGTATTCAAACTATGCACTGTATTGAAAGGATTCAGTTATACTTCATAATTTTACAATTTATTTATTGAATTTGATCATTTGCTTGTGATCAACATAGATCCTTTTCAAGTGAGCATTGATAACGATTCAAACCCCCTAAGAAGTATTCGCGATGTAATGTCTGGTCATAGATTATCATTTTTTTGTGGATAACTATTCAGAAAAATCAATTGATATATACACCACGTATTTCTGACCACTCAAAAAACTTGAAAAGTAAAGCATATAATTATCATTGAATTATCTTGGTTTATACATCTATCTAGAACTGAATTTCTTAAATGCTCTAACAAGGGAATGTCCCTTTTCCCTATAAATTTTGTAGGTCTAACAGTTTGTAAAAAAAATATTTTGCAATTGAAAATTTGTACATGCATATTTAAACCAAAATCCTATAAAAATCATGTTTATAATCCACTGTAACATTGCTACAGAGAAATTCCAGTTAGTCATCATGTAAGGGAGTGATCTGATAGAGAGAGCAGGAAATCTAAGCTGCCGAATTCCTTCTAAAAGCACACCAGAAAATATATTCATAGACGTAGACTAGATTATTGGTGTGGATGTACTAACAATCAACTTCTTAAAACCCTCAAAGCTTTTCTAACTTTGTCGGTTTCCAGGTGTGATTCACATTTGCCAAAAAATGAACTCAGTTTTTCTCATCAGTTTTCTTCAACCAAGAAAAGTATGAATAAATCTTGTTTGATTTGATTTGCCAAATTGTATATAGAGCTTTTAAAACTAATGTGGTAGTTATTCTCACATTTTATTTTCAATTTGATTTTTCATTATAATACAGAATATAAATGACTGTAATTTCATTTATGATTGTTTAATTTTTTAACAGAGTAGAAACAGAGTTGTCAATGGACTTTTATGACGCCTACATGGAGTATTAATAAGAAGGTTTAATTTTCTTTTTCGCAAAATTAGGTTTACAAAGCAACATTTCTAAACAGTACAGGCCATTCTCTCTATATGAAATCATTCAGGCTTCACTATCATCAAGAATTAAAAAAAAAAATTCATTAAAATGTTTGATTACGTATTCATACCAAGAATCTTGACGGACTAAAACTGATTTGTCGGCCAGAAAAGTTTCCTATTTTTTTAAAAGGTGCAAAATTCCTGATTTTACGGATTGACTCATGGTGCCCCGTAATGTGTTTATTTTGCCAAAATGTTATATCTTTATATTTGTTGATTTGCTACTTTAGCTAGCCGTATGCCAAGGTTTATTAGAATCATGAACTCAGTAAAGTGACTGGAAAATTTGCCAAATATGCTTTTTATATAAACTCATCCTTTTTCTGTGAAGAAAATGTTTAGGTTAATGCTCTGTTTAGGTTGTTACAGGGTCAACTCTAAAAATAGTCACACACAGATTATAGGGATGCCAACCTGACCTCATTCTCAAAAAAACATTCATTTTATTTATCTAAACCTCATGCAAAGCTAGTAGTCTATTCATTTATTAGAATAATGATATTTGGAAAGCTTTTATTTCAAAAAAGTTTAATGTACAACATCTATACACCTGTATGCTATTGTTTCAAAGAGTTATAAGAGCTTACAGATAACCAACAACAGCTCATCCATTTTAAGCTCCACTGCACTACTTATAGCTACTTGGGCCCTCTATATAGCAAACAATGCCTAAGCGGTGCCTGTTGGTCCCCATGATCCTCTTTTTCTTATATTAATTGAGAGCTGATTTAATGAAATAACTATCTATCAGTGACCTTGCAGGGAGGTCTAATCCCCCTGGCCAAACTAGTAGAGACTGGCTTTAAAGGGAATGCAAGCAAGCTACTCTAGTAGAAAGTAGAACCATTAGAGAAGCATACTGATGAAATTGAATGAAATAGGACAACAAATGAGAAAGTTATGATTTTTTAAAAGTTGCAACCACTATAGATATGGACTCTTCAAATTGGCTGAATCAGTAATTTCTCTGTGGTGTAGTGGCAGACAACTTTCCCATTTGTTCCAGCACACTAAATGACTACAATTTCAGCAATATCAAAGTAAAAGGTTACAGAATGTGATACACTGATTGGCATTATCAGGGATTTGTACATCGTTAGTGATTAGTAATTATTATTCTTTGTTCTCAGACCTTAATTATGTACCCCAATATTTCTCTTTCAGACAGTGTGTGGAGTTAAGAAAAACATTCATTAATAGTATTTATGTAATTACAATACTTCCAAACTTTTTGTTTTAAATCAAAATATAAGATTGATGAAAATCTCACATCACACCCCTCCTGCCAAGGCATTATCAAATTAAATCTGAGCAAGATGCTGTCATACTATTTCTTTGGTGAAAAAACTAAATATATATTTATATCTTATGTTGTAACTGTATGTGATATTTAAATATTGACTGTATTTAAGCTGAAATTATACCTCAAGGCTGTGCATTTATTTGTCATTTTTTTGTGTATCTGTCCTATTTTCTTGTTTTTTTAGTGCCTCAGCTACTAGTGATGGTACTGGAGCCACTTGTTATTAATATTTATTGGTATTTATTTACACATGGTTCATCTTTTAGACTGCTTCGTTCTTTTACTATGGATGGCTTTAGTGCAGGTTACATACGTACTATTATTGTTTTTATATGTTTTAACCAGTGCTACCAAGTTTACCAAATTTGTATATCTCTTTTTTTTTAATGGTTTGTATCATCATTTCTGTCATCATTCAATTTGATACAAATGGTTCTCCATGATGTAAAAGTTTGCAATTCTGGAACTTTTTAAAAATTTGATTTCCAGGAGAAAGACAAGCTTTCCTTAGTCCCAATGTTAGATCAATATAAAAATCTGGGCTGTTTAAACCATGTATTGCATTGAAAGAGTTAAATGATTCGTTCCCTCAAAACAATGATGGAACATAAAGGTCACTTAGTATCCATTGACACATATTTTAACAGAGAATGTTTGATGTTATTCACTTGAAGCTGGAGCTGAAATGTGTCACATGGATGTATTTATTATGTTTGCATTAAGAAATATATTTTCAATTAAATCATGCATTTATGGCAATTATATACTACCTGGATTTTTGGTATAAATACATGGTATTCAATGTTACCTTTTTTCTAAAATAAAGAATGAAATTTGGCTATGGACCTTGCAACAGACAAGCCCTGAACTAACCATTTTGAATAAACGTCTATTTGAATTCACTTCTGGCTCCTTCATGATTCAGGTGAAATGGTGCAAGTAGAGTTATACAAGAAATGAAATATAATGAAATATATCTGTGAAAAAAATATTCAAACATGGTATGAAATTTATTGATGCCTGTCTGTATCTTTTGGGGCTTGTAGATATCACTAACATGCATGGAAGGAGAGATGGGCAATCCATTATGTGTCTAGGAATTATCATGAACAATAACATGATATTTGAGTAAATGAGTTGCCTTTTATATAATGCTAGCTACAGATGTATGTATGCTGTGAATAGGTAAATATCTTTGTCAAAATCTGGTACACTGTGTAAATGTTTTTTATTACTATTTATGAACTCATGTATATAGTTTTGTATATTTTATTTCAAAGGTGTCATGTTTAAATGTCAAATACAAATCACTTTCATTATGTAGAAAAATGCTAATTTTATGTACTTGCTTTATATTGTCATCAAAGTGCTTGAGCTAAATATGAAAAATATTATTCTATGAACGGCATGGAAAACGTCTTTATTCTGAAATGTCCCTTGATTTTGAAAGCAAATGTCCATTTATACCTCATGTAAATGAGCTTTCATTTTTAATGTAGACTATTTTCCTTCTAATGCATATGTATTATATATGCATATTTTAGGAAGATAATTTTTTAGCTAGCCTAACATGACATTAACTAAAGGACTAGCAATGTTACTGGTTATACTTATGTGAAACATCATTCGTAATGATGACAGTAATTATGAGTTTATTTTATTGATAATGCCGAATCTAATTGAATGAGACAACATATTTCTCTTGTCGCAATTTAAAAAAGTGTCTAACCTAGGTGCATGCTGTAGCTACTAATGAGTTACCGGTGAAAATTGAGATTACACACAAATATTCTAGGATTTCTAGGATTTCGTAAAATTTGAAGAGGTGACATTAAAAAAAAGTCTTTCTTTACCTTCTACTGATTTATATAAAGTAAACTATGAAACTACAGACTCTTCAACAATTCTCTTGCTGATTAAATCGTTGCCGCATTGTCGAATTCTTTGAGGAGCTCTGATTTTAATTCAATTACCGTAGTCGATCATTCTTATGAGAATTTTATTCACCCTAAGCGAGTTGAATTTGAGTCATAAAGTGGAGACAAGTGAGCTTCCCATCTCAACTTTTTGGACAACCTCATACCAAATATCATTCCTACTATGGATAGGGTATCAGAGATTGCATAACATCCCCCCCCCCCCAGGAATCAGTCTTTTATCAGGAAACCTGATTTTCAGTACCGACCTGTAGTAAAAGATGCACAAATCAAATAACTGGTGAAAACAGGGTGTTTATGGTCATTCTTATGCACATTATCAGTTTTTAGCATCCAGAGCAATTGAATGGAATAAGATTTTAGGAGTGCTGTTTAGTTACATAGAAACATAGCATGCTTTTCTGAGTACATTGACACCCTCTGGATCAGGACTTGAATGCTATTACATGATATTCATTGGATAGAATTCATTAATAGTGGCAATTATATGCATTAAATGAAAGAAATTGCTCAAAATGTCATGTAGAGTGTAGAGAAAACAAAATGGCTTGATCGGACGAATCTCTATGAGCTGTCTGGTGTAACTGCCCATACAACCATGCCCTTATTTATGGGTCTATTTACTTGTATTGCTTGTAAGTCTATCCTTGTAACTTTCTTTTCTGAACTTGATGCGTATGGAAGTGTGCATATCAGTATTGAGAAGAGGAATTAAAGACGCAAAGGAATATTTTCAAATGTAAAATAATCTGAATTGTTGTGCTTTCTTGTATTTGGTGGGAATGGATGTGTAGTATGAGAACTGTGTTACCATGGCCATATATGACTGGCGAAAATTCAGATAATGTGGTGGTGGTGGTGATGATGATTATGATGATGTTGATGATTAAGATGATGATAATGATGATGGAGGTGGTGGCGGGCGAGATGAGGATTATGATGATAGTGGTGGTGGTGATGGTGATGATGACGATGGAGGTGGTGGCGGGGATGATGAGGATTATGGTCATGGTGGTGGTGGTGGTGGTGGTGATGATTAAGATGACAATGCTGATGGAGGTGGTGGCAGGGGTGATGAGGATTATGATGATGGTGGTGGTGGTCATGGTGGTGATGGTGGTGGTGATGATGATGGAGGTGGTGGCGGGGGTGAAGAGGATTATTATGATGATGGTGGTGGTGGTGGTGATGATGATTAAGATGACGATGACGATGGAGGTGGTGGCGGGGTGATGAGGATTATGATGGTGGTGGTGGTGGTGGTGATGGTGATGGTGATGATGATGATGGAGGTGGTGGTGGCGGGGTGATGAGGATTATGATGATGGTGGCGGGTTGATGAGGATTATGATGGTGGTGGTGGTGGTGGTGATGATGATGATGATGATGATGATGATGATGGAGGTGGTGGCGGGGGTGAAGAGGATTATGATGATAGTGGTGGTGGTGGTGGTGGTGATGATGATTATGGCGGAAGTGTTGGTGGTGATGATGATACTTATGATGATGGTGGTGGGGGTGATGAAGATGATGATGATGATAGTGGTGGTGGTGTTGAGGATGATGATTAAGATGATGGTATTGCTAATTGTGAAGATGATTTTGTTAATGCTGGTGATAACTTAAATTGGTGATGACGATGATGGTGATGATGATGATGACTAGTAACTGTGGTGATTATGAAAATGCAAGCAATAATTAAAATGATAGTGGGTTACATTCCTGTCCTGTTTTATCCATTTCTATGTCTATCTTCTTCTTTTTTCTTGTACTTGCCTATATAGGTATCTCCATTCTCTTTTTTTTTTTTTTTATCTTTCCTTATATATCGTTTTCCATATATCCTATGTATTTTCCTACTTTGTTGTTGTTGACATCTCCTTGGTCTATCTGTCCTTATGGATTTCTTTGTTTTATCATTCTTACGAGATGTCGGTCTACTAGGAGTCTGGGATGCCCCACTTACTAATATATTCATCTTCTTGCATGTTTCTTCCACGTGCCATTCCGTCCACCTGTTATGTCCACTTACGTCACATCCCACCTCTCATTCGAGAAAAGATGTTTTTCTTAAATGCTAATAAAGCAACGCCACTATTTCATTCAATTCAATGTATTCAAATGAGAGTGTGTTTCTACCCATTGTGTCGGCAGATAAATTATTCCATTCACCTGCTATTCATTTTTATTGCATTTCAACAGCCAGAAGCACTATGAACATGACTGACAAAGAAAGCGGACAAAATATACAGTTCCTCAGGTAGATAAAGGAACATCCCTTCACTGCTATTATGTAAAAATGTGTAGAACAGGTGCCACATGCATATTCACCTGTTCTACACATTTTTACATAATAGCAGTGAAGGGATGTTCCTTTGTCTACCTGAGGAACTGTATATTTTGTCCGCTTTCTTTGTCAGTCATATTCATAGTGAAGGCAGGGTGTTTACAAACAGTGTTGCTATGCAGACAAAGTAGCATAGGATTATGATGTGAGACAGCCAGGGGCTGCATCTCTGCCCCCCAACAGTTTTCGAAATTATAACAAACATCACCATCATCATCATCATCATCATCATTATTACCACCATCACCATAAAGGGTGGACTGGGACTGAAATTCAGTTGGGAAATGTAGATGTGAGCAGCCCAATCGACCGTTGCGATACAAATCGACCGTGCCCACACCACAAATAGATAGGATCTAAAGCCAAAATATTGAGCCGCCCTTTGCGAACCCCCTCCCCCCCCCCAAAAAAAAAAAATAAATAAAAAAAAAAATAATAATAATAATAATAATTAAAAAATCCCAAGAGCCAGTCCGCACCCGGACCAAGACAACGCCACCACCACCAACCTCATTATAATCATCATCACCATCATCAGCCATCAGAACTAACGCTACTGCCAACACCACCATCACCACCATCGTCACGATAGATACGTGTAATCGTTCACAACTCAAAAGTTCGTATTAGACGAAATGTTTAATTGACGGATGTCAAATTATTTGGAGTAAACCTTATGCTATTTCAAAATAATGCATTTGATAAATCAAGGCCCCATAAGTCGTAAGTATTAGTAACTAGATCACAACATAATACCATGTGTGATTTTCGAGAACCTTTTGCTATCAACTGAACTGTCAATAATAATTCGTGACTTGTTTACGAAAGTTGCTCGGGAACAGACCGGTTAACTAAAATATTTAGATTCATTGCATACTTTTTAAACAAAGGGTCGTTCTTGAAAACCTGAATGCTTGCTCGAGATTTGCCCGACATAGCAACAAATATTATATGCTGAATGGATTCCAAGTATTATAGTTCATTCAGTAATGACAGGTTAATAGAATACCTCACTAGGTCCCCAGGAAATAAATATCCATAAATTGGTATATTTTGGTAAAACGCGCCTAGACCTACTTCAGCTGCGATACATGTTTTAAAGTTGAAATGATATATTCTATTCAGGGCATTAATAACATAATATTATTTGAAGAATTGACATCAAAATTATTTCCAATACATTTGATTTCTTTCAATCTGCAAAGATCATGCCGACACGAGTAATATTTTGAGTTCTTAACGATCAAAAGTGTAAAGTATTGTTTTTCTCTCCCACCTGGCTCTCTCTCTCTCTCCTTCTCCTTCTCTCTCTCGCTCTCTCTGTTTCTCTCTCTCTCTCCCTCTTTCTCTTCTTCTTCTTAAAAAAAATACCTATCAACTTCCTTTTTCTTTTCAAGCACAGGTGTTCAAGGCTTTGACATTCTTACATTCAGTAAAATGGGCAGACACAATACTTTGCAGAGGTTTTGACTGAACCAAATGATGAATTCATCACCATCACAATGGTAATTTGAATAAAGCATGCCAGAATCCGTCCCTATGAAAAGCCTCAGACGTTGAGACATCCTGATTAGATGTTGATTCGGATACCAAATGATGATCACCCTCCAAAGGGTGTGTACTTATTACAGCGACTATTCCCTTTGACACACCTACAATAGTGTTAGCACAATTGTTTTAGTGATCTGCCATGGTCAAAATCGGGACAAAGTATTAATGCGATCAGATCGATTTCCAAGAAAAAATGGCTTACAAGTTCTATCATCGCTTCTCAGCGGCTGATTTTCAGCGCTACAGGGAATTCTTTCCGAAATTCGAACACGAATCTTCGAGGGATGGTTTCGCCGGGTCGAGAAACACAGCCCAATCGGAAGCCGCTGCTATGCAAGGCAAGACAGCAGACGACAAAACACGTGATAAATTCACGACGTGAGTTGAATTGATCGACTTTATAAAACTTGACAATCAACAAATTGACAACATGAAATTAAAAAAAAATATATTGTTGTGTGTACAGACAAAGTTAAAATTCCACATCAAATAATAGAAGATACCGACCATTTGGTGTTTTTTGAAAGTTTAAATATATAAGTGAATATTTTAATTATATATAGTCTCTTAGCCAAATTAAATTTTTATCAAAAAGTACTTCGATGATGATGATGAAGATGACGACGATGTTGATGATTATTATAGCTCTATATTATACGAACAGTTTGCTTTTGGCGTCAACAGCGCATGTAGACAAAATTGAAAGCAATCCGCTAAATAAGCCACTCGGTGGCGCGATTATCATATTATTTGATGTCCTTTTGATATAACTCATAGTGTAGAGAAGGTACACATTTTGAAAATGTTATTTCCATAGGAAGATTGATAATTCAACATCCCAGTGGCACATGAGTCTATGTGAATATTTCCTTTGACATGACATAAAAGCTTAATCCCTTTGCGAATGTGTTCTTACACAGACGAAATAAATTCTGGGGACAGAGATGTAACAACATAAATGCCCTCCCAATCCCGCCAAATTCTTATGACGACGACGATGATGACACTCAAACTCCTCTGATACCATCGACGACTTTGTCCGCCGTTTCAACCACGTCCTCGACTACCTCATCGTCCTCGTCATCGGATTCATCGCCGTCGGAGAGCTCGAGAGCGAGACGGAGGAAGACCAGCCGACCGAGGAGAAGTCCAAAGAGAAATGATCCCAAATTTAAAGGAGTTACATTCTCCATGGAGACTGCCATTTCACATGGAAAACAGGAAGCAAGGCTCACGATCAAGTCACAACTTAGGTTTGCTCTTAATCAATTTCTATGCGTATCCTTACTAAATTATTTTTTATTTATTTCTCTCATTTATGATGATTGAAGACGGTGTCAATTTTGTTATTATTTTGTATTTCTTTTTATTACAGCCAAGTGGTTCATTGAAACACATATACAGATTTTTTTTTTAATTCTTTACGCAATAGGCTTAGGCTTATGCAAAAATAATCGGCAATAGGTATTTTTAGTTAGCTTTTTAAAGGTACTAAGGTGTTAAAAGGGGGAGAAAATAATACTCCTTTTAACGCTGAATATTGAAAAATGTTATGCTAATATCATACTGAAGTTTGAGCCTTTTAGAAATGGAGGATGTCAAATTTGTTTGAAAAAAATTACGAAAATCAAATTATACTGATTTTATTTTTAGAGTGTACACCTTTTTTTTTTTACAAACAAACGCCACAATAGTGTGTATTAGAAAATAATTCGGAACAAAAAAATACCGTTGTGCATCCCAGCTGAAATTCCAGACTAGAGTCATGAAACATTCATGAGGGTGGATATCAAAAGGCTTTCGGAAATGACAAGCACCGATACACAATGATATTGTATTCTGAATAAATTTCGCCTTGATTTGTTGAAAGTTGCTAAGGCAAACGAGCATACTCCAAATAGATTTTACATCTGATAAAAAAATTAACTATTGAGTCATTGACGATCACATGCGTCAAATTTTAAACATATAGTAGGCCTACATAAGAGAACAATTAATAGACCGGTTTACTAGCATAACAAAGTTTGTTGTTGATAACCTGAAAGCTTACCCCAGGCTTGCCAGACATAGCAACAATTAATGTATGTATTAATGGAAGCCCTCGTCACTAGGTCCCCAGGAAGGAAACATCCATAAATTTGAATACAATGTATGTTAGTAAACCGCTCTATTGAAATCGGGGTTATCTGTCTCGCTGGAAATATAATATTTTTCCCCTAAACATCATGATCCTCTCGTCAATGTTATCTTTTTTTAATGTGATAACCACATGGTCTCGTTAGTCCCCTGGTACATATGTTTTCGTGTATTAAAGAGACAATTATGTGGACTTTTTTGTTGTTTCTTCAGCATTCGTCGCTATCGTCGTATGTTGACAAAGCGCTCCATGACAGGATGGCGAAGGGTACTTCATCGGGGATTCTATTTCCATGGCAACTCACAAACTGGAGGCCGCACCCTGTCCGACTCGAGCTCATCTGAAACTGATAGTGATACCGGACTTGGAAGGATGAGATCGAAAGCCTTCAAATCGGTATCGAACAAGAAGAGAGTGTTGCCACTTCTTTTTGTTACGTCATTGAGTCAGCCACCCAACACTGCCGCTAAAGTTGGACGTCATTCTGGTAGATTGCCGCCACATACGATACCGGACCCGTTAAAGGCTCATGGTATGTGAGAAATAAAATCAAACTTATTAACGATAATCATTAAAGGTAGGCGTTACTACTGCAGCTATAAGGGATTAGACCACACAGCGAGCCAACGAGGTCACTGTGACAGGTGTCTATCTCATTAACTCAGCTCTCATTTAACATAAGAAAAAGAGGATCATGGGGACCAACAGGCACCAATTTGGGAAGTTTTCTATATAGAGGGAGCAAGTAGCTACAAGTAGGACAGTGTGCCTTTAAAACAAAAGCAAACACAAAAAACACAATAATATATTTTTGTGTATGCCTACATGTTAGATGTATGAGTAGCAAGCCGATACCCCATTTCCATTTATAAACTAAAACCCCTTTTTTTGCGATTTAGGCCTAGATTAGCTTTCATTTTTAATTCCATGTATCTCGCTATGTCGGGATAAGCTTAGTGGCTAGAATTAATCCGTTTCAACAAGATGTATCGAATATGTCGAAACGATAATTTACCCGTTTCAACAAGATGTATTGAATATGTCGAAACGATAATTTGAATTATTGGTCTTTCAGGAAAAACTTGCGAGTCTTGTAAAACAACACGTACTCCATTATGGAGAGATGCTGAAGACGGGACACCACTCTGTAATGCATGTGGGATTAGGTAAGTTATTTTGACCTTTTCAAGAAAATGCCCTCATTTGAATCTGTCCAAAATGGCTTTGGCCGCAAGATTAGTGACTTTTAGATTTGCGTGGACTGATACGTGTGACGTCCATTCAAGGCAGTGCATTAAAAGGACGTCGATCGTAGCAATCCACGTTGTCGTTGTGCAAATCTAAAAGTCCCTATTATACTTGGTCAGGTGCCCCCGTGCAACCCCACCCCGTACCCCCGTGCAACCCCACCCCGTACCCCCGTGCAACTCCACCCCGTACCCCCGTGCAACCCCACCCCGTACCCCCGTGCAACTCCACCCCGTACCCCCGTGCAACTCCACCCCGTACCCCCGTCCAACTCCACCCCGTACCCCCGTGCAACCCCACCCCGTACCCCCGTGCAACTCCACCCCGTACCCCCGCGCAACTCCACCCCGTACCCCAGTGCAACTCCACCCCGTACCCCAGTGCAACCCCACCCCGTACCCCCGTGCAACTCCACCCCGTACCCCCGTGCAACTCCACCCCGTACCCCGTGCAACTCCACCCCGTACCCCATGCAACCCCACCCCGTACCCCCGTGCAACCTCACCCCGTACCCCCGTGCAACCCCACCCTGTAATAACGGTTGCGACTTGTTCTGACAAAATTACGTTTACATGCATTGATAAGTCAAGTACTGACAATTTTAATAGGTATCAAATTATTTTCTTGAAATGTTAATATGAGGAAATTCGATAAGCATGATAAAACTTAAGCGGATTTGACCTCTCTTAACTTTACCACTAGTAAATTACAGTTTGACATGAGTTTTAATTGTTTAGGCAGCGCTCAACGAAGTCATGGTAACACAAAGAAGTTTGCCTTAAAGCCTATCTGCACTAGTTTGGCTAGGAGGGATTAGACCTCCCTGCATGGTTACTGACAGGTGGTTATCTCATAAAATCAGCTCTCAATTACATAAGAAAAAAGGGACCATGGGGGACCAACGGTCGCCGCTTAGGCATTGTTGCCTATAGAGGGAGCAAGTAGGTATAAGTAGTGCAGAAGGGCTTACATGTCGTTGACGTTCTTGTTGTTTTTGTTTCTAGATACAAGAAGTACCGGATTCGTTGTCCATGCTGTTGGCTGATCCCACGCAAAGACAGCAAGACATTCCCCTACTGCGGGCGATGCGGCGTACTTCTAAAAATGATGCTCCAGCGAAGGTGTCAGTATCTTTGACGGTTGTTTTTCAATAAGTGCAATTAAAGGTTCAGTACTGTTTGGTTGTTATAATGGTTGCCAACTTGTCATGAGTAAAAGGCAATATAGAAATATTTGAAACTCAAATATTCAATATCAATTACGAATGATTGTAGAGTAGGCCTACATAATAAGGCGGCTGAAGCACTGAGCAATAACAGATATGTTGGAATTTAAGATGATGAAATCAAATAATTACTCAGCGTCATACTTTTGAATTCCAACAGCCATTTATTGGTCCACAATTTTTCGATCTACCGTCTCAGTTTTTACGTGAAATGACAATATTAAGAATGATTATCGTAATAACTTTCTGAAATACATACATAATTCTGCTTTGTTTTAACTTGTTTTAATCTTCCTTGTTTTATTTTGTGCTTTTTTTTTTGGGGGGGGGGGTGAAAGTAATATAAAAGTTTCTTTTTATCCCTTTGACCAAAATGCTTAATTTTTTTGTGAAGACGATAAAGCGTGGCTTTCCAATGCAAATTGATTTTGAATGTTTCGAACGCGATTTTTTAGAGGATCTTTTCGTACGCTAACTTGTAATTGCACTAAGGTTAAAGCCCATGTTCAGTTTTGGTTAGCCTTCCCCTAAAAAAGGTTTTCTACATCAAAAGAGTAATGACTTAATGAAGGTGTCAATTTGTTCAATTTTCCTAAGTCATGATCTGTATTATCGTACAGTGCTACTCTTTCTACTTGTACACAGCGAAATTCAAGAAAACAGTTGATTAGGCGTCTCTATTTTCAAAAGGGAGATCGCCCCTATTTCTTTCTTATTGTTACTCTTGCCATTACTATACATGGTTTACCATGTTTGGATTCTAGAGTGAATCAACGGTTTTTGAAACTTAATCAGTGAGTTTGTTTGAAATAGTGGAATATTTCATTAGATTTAATTTAAGTTAGATTTACGTTTACATTTGAATTCAAATAGAGGTGGAGATATCGATTATTCATGTCGATATAATAAGTGGTAACAATTTCGTGTTTACGTACGATCATCTCTGTATTTATTAATCCTAACTATACTTTCGACTCTTGAGCAACAATTAATTTTAATGTGTTAGTATGAAAATCCGAACTGATATTATCTAACCGTAGAATAAATGCAATTTTCAAGGAGGCTATGCATAAACTCCTTATTCTTTTTTGAGTTGACAACTAGTATTCAAAATTATTGTCGGCGGTATGATTTTCTCAACCTTAGTCTGCAAATGAATAAGATTGTAGATTTTTGTCTATAATCCGTACACCTTTTCAAAACATGGTCGATCGGTGCCCTTGGGAATACAATGTAGATGTCAACATATTATAAGGCCCATTTGCAAAAATATTACATGGATTAGTAAATAAAATGTCAATCAGATGTTGTTATCAGAGGATTTAAATGTCTCGGTATCGGTGTTTTTACTTAGCAATATACATATGTATGTAAGATGTTGGTAATGATGGTGGTGACGATGATGATGATGATGATGATGATGATGATGATGATGGCAATGTACACATTTTACTTTTGTATTCATTAATCTATTGGTATAATGTTTGAGCAACAGAACGGGCTGAAACGACCTCTTTTGAAGGCAAAAGCAACACAATTATTTACCAAACTAGTTTAATTAACTTTTTAAAACACTATCATTACAAAGTTATACCTACGTATGCGAATTATAGTACGAATGTCATAATAATACAAGGTATTACATATTGTCACATGTTATTGCATGATACATACACCAAATGTTTACATAGAATAGTGCATTGCATGGTTTCAATAGAGTAAAACCTTTAAGAGAGGGGGTTAGTGGAGATACGAAGAGGGAAGGAAGGAAGGAGGGAGAGACAAAAGTAAAGAGGAAGAAAACAAGAGATACGGAGAGAGAGAGAGAGAGAGATGAGGAAAGAGAGAGAGAGAGAGAGAGAGAGGCGGGGTAGGCGAGGGGGGGGGGGGGTTTGGATAAATGGGGGTATTCGGGATATCCAGATTCCAGGGGGTAGGTGGGGACATGCAGACCAAAAGGCTTTACGTTTCTATTCCTCCCTTGACCATACCTACATTAGCACAAAAATTGACACGTCCTCGTTTATAACCTCATTTCTAAAGCTTGCGAGCGAGAAAAAATTTGATTTTTGATTGTATACCAAAATCAACCTGGTTACCAAAATATTTAGCCTAGATGAGATTTTTTTTAAAAATCACTCTCAAATAGATCACGTCGATAATTAAATAAAGTTAAAAAAAAAAATAAAAATAAATAAACTCCCGGGAAGGTAGGGGTGCATGTCCCCCCCCCCCCCCCCAGCTATCCGCTTCGTATTCTAAGCTGATCAAGCCTGTGAAAGCATTTAGCGAATGTGCAGGCAGATCAATGAAATATTATAGTAATAATGACTGCTATGAGAGACATAGATGTTTTTATACGCTCAAGGAGAGGTTACATGTGATTTATGTGATTATGCTATGTTATATTATCTGTTTGTCTGATTGTTTTTATTTTTTATATTTTGTATAATGTATTTCTTTTGAAGGGTGGGAATATAGGGGATCAACCTTGACAGGCCAATGGCCTTTGTTGATCCCTCACATCCTCCACCCTTCATCCTTCTTTCATCAGTACAATGTAAATGAATGTTGTTGTTTTTTGTATATATTTATATTGTTTTAATTTATGATTTGTTTGTATATCTTTTGATGTGTTTTTAAAGTGATGTAAAATAAATTGAATACTTGAATACTTGAATACGTGATCGTGCTATCGCCCCGAGGCGTCCCGAGGGGTGATAGCACGATCATGTAAAATCCTTCCCATTGAGATTGCACGCATATACGTAAAATGCCCAAACCGGTCAATAGTGGATTTCTAAAGTGAGGTATATAATTGCTATTATTAACTTCAGCGTCAATCTCACTGGGCTGCGATAGTTGGCGACAAATTGGAAACGGCATTCGCGAGGGAGTTTCCTAACCGTCTGGAAACAATCGCGTGGCTTCTCAATATATTCGCGTTAGTTGCAGTGCCTCGCTTTCGTGTCCCTGGAATTTTGAGCATTAAAATTAAAATCGTGCGAACAAAAATTCTCTCAAAGCAGCCTAAGGGTCGTAAACGGGAGTCTCGAGCCCGTCTAGAACCCTTCTCGAAAATTCCGTGTTCGAGATAGGCGCGAACCCGAGTGAGCGCGACAAAATTGCGACAGAACTACGACACTTTGTGACTAAATTGGGTTTAATAAACAACTCAGCAAGACATTTATGTGAATCCAGGCGAAAATTCAGGGTATATTCCACCTGAAATTGTCGCTTATTCGCGGATTTTTTTTTTCTTCCTCGAAATTATGTGTCTCCAACAAGTCGTGACCTTTTGCAGTCCAGTAATAAACCAACTTTCATCCACACCTCGTACGATGTCACTTCATTGCACGTCAAATACCACGGTGTCGTCGACGCAGTCTTAAGTGATTACTTTTGTACTCCAGATGGACTATTGACGTATTCCGGTTTCTCTGGATCAATGATGTCAGCGTAAACCTCTTCTTTGATGTTGCTGATCCCCGTTCTTTTGAGGTCCTGGTAGGCAGGTGGCCTGACTACACTCGGTTGAGGCAGCTCGTAATGAGGGCTCTTTGGGTCGCCTGCTGATGGGGCAGCACGTAAACGAGACAGGTCTTCCTTCTTCTGCTTCCGCTTGCTGGTGGTCGATTTAGAAAAAACGGACAGAAATAGTGGATAATCACTATTGTCGTCATCTCTACTTCCCCATCATCATCATCTTCATCTCCATCTTCCCAAACATCATCATCATCATCATCATTATCTTCTTCATCTCCATCTTCCCAAACATCATCGTCCCCATATTCCCAAACATCATCTCCATCATCATCATTATTATCATCAATATAGTCGGCAAATCATCAAATACTATTAGTGTAAAGATACAGGTGTATATGCAGATAATGTTTATGATAAACATGATGAGACTGACATGGTTTTTGTAACTCTTTTAGCTAAAAATGTCTTTTTGCAATGCAGACTGTAGGCTACATGAGGAATGGATTGGAGACAGCTCTGTTGTATAAACCAGTTAAAGTTAGGAATTAGACAATTACAAAACTATGTAGATATTGCAAATCCACGTCCTGCCTTTAATTTTTTTTCTCGAAAAGGGCATTACTATTATGCGAGAAATTAAAATGTTTTTTATTCTTACCATAAAATCACTATGGCAATAGCAAGTATGATGATCCCCAAGAATGATATCACGAATAAAACCATCCAAGCAGCATTAGTCTTCCTCAGGCGTTGACTCTCTGCAAAATTGAAAAGATAAGCGTAAATCGCCAAGATTCATCAGTTTATTGCTAATTGCAGAATAGACCTATTGCTGCAACAAATATTGTTATAGAGACATTTCATATTTTGATATCACTGTCCCTTCGTTCTTTTGGTTCCCTTGGTCAAAGATCATAGGCTGCACATAGTGCTTGGGCCACATTAAGAAGTTCGTTAAATGATAAGGACACATCCATGATTGTCATAAGGGCGAGGGTAACACTGTAGGAGCATTGTTACATCGTAGTCAATAATCAGTGAAGGATCCGGCACTTTAACTCGACAAAATTACTTTAAAATCCCACCAGCCCGCCTCCCTATCCAGGCGCAAGGGAGTGCGGGTCGGTCGGTTGTACGGGCGATAAGAGCCCGGCCCCCACTCCCTGAACGGAGGGATACCATGCGTGTTCCCAAAATGTCCGGTAAAGGGGTGCTTTTCACGTACCAAAGTCCGGCTCGTAGTACACAAAAATCCGGCCCGTATTGACTTTACACACCGGACTTAGGGGAGTGTTTTCAAAAGGAGGGAACATGCATATGCGTACCCTAAATAACACTGAGTGGGGGGGGGGGGGGGGTAAGAGTCGGGATAAGATCAATAACTGAACGCAGGATTGACCGCCAAATCAACAAACAGACATAGGACTATTGAGGCCATGACTAATGCGTGTTTAGCTGATGGTTGGATGTTTCTGTTTACATCAGTATACGAAATCATCATCAATATTGGTCTAATCACCACTCACCGAGGGAAGCAGTCGTAACAGCCACAAGTGGACTTCTTGGTCCTTCTCCGCCGGGACCTTCTCTGACGGCAGACACACTGATATTGTATTCTGTTCCTGGTTCCAACTCAGTCAATACAAACTCCATTATTCGTTGAAGATCGCCCTCTCCCACACCCGAATCGATTCTACCAGCCACTGTCCATTGTTCCTCTTCCATGGTTTGCTGATAGATAAGGTAACCAACAATAGGTCCATCGCCAGGATCCAGGCAAGGTATCCAAGAGCTCCAGAAGACAGTGACTGATGACGAGCTGATCTCTCCGACTGTTGGGCCGGATGGTAGCTCTGGCAAAGCTGGAAATGATAAAGCTATCAAGTTAATAGCTGATTCTATGTGTAAAGTACCTATTTGTTATGAAGAAAAATAACACCAGCAAAGAAACTAACAAATGAAACAATAAAAAGAGATATTATCACATCTTTTAGGCGTTTCCGGACACCTCCCCCTGGCCGACATCCACCCCGGATAACCACCCCCAGTCAACTACCCCCTAGGACAACCACCCTCTAGGACGACTACCCCTAGGACAACTATATCCGGACAACTACCCCCAGGACAACTACCCCCAGACAACTACCCCCTAGGATGGTTGTCAGGGGGGGGGGTAGTCATCTAAGAGCCTAGGGGTGCCCTAGGGGGTAGTTGGCTGGGGTTTGTTATCCGGGTGGATGTCCAGGTGGTAGGTGTCCCAAAACCCTTGTAGGGCCTATTTGAAATAGACTTAATGAAGTTCCAAATACGTTGCATTCTTAAATAGGTATTTCGGATAATATCCATGCATATACATTATGTATGTTGTTATTTACTAATTCAGCATACTAAGAATCTTGCTCTACGATTGGTCAAAAGTCAAACACGTGATGAAACATAGTTTCGTCCATCATTGAAGGGAGAAGAAAAGTTCGTTTAACACTGTGTACTATCTTCAACGCATGCAGGCGACCACGTCCACCGCGGTGATGTGGCGCGAATTACAAATTGAATTTTATTCGTTGCGTGTATACACGTACGTAAGTACTGCTAGCTGTTAATTGATGACTTGTTGCTCTAAAATGTAGGAAGAAGTCAATTGGAATAGCATTGTTGGTAAGTAGATCAAACCTAGGGAGCTTCATGCCATCGCACAGAAAATAGAATCTAACAGTTAGAATCTAGCACAACTACTCATGCGCGTACGCAGGGGGGGGGGGGGGGGGTAACCCCCCCCCTTGAGTTTTTGTTATGTATATGTTTTATGTATGTTTTTTGTGACCCCCCCCCCCTTGTTGATTTTTTTATTTTTTATTGAAAAAAGAAAAGAAAAAAGAATTATGCCAATGGCTGACCTAAAAAAGGTGACCTTACCCCCCCCCCCAACGGAACAAAATGTCAAATTTTCAAATTTCGAGACCAAAAAAAAAAAAGTATCCGTTTACCCCCCCCCCCCCCCCCCCCCCCCCCCCCCGCCCTACTGAGCGACTTTTCGGCTGGCTGAGTCGTTGCGATTTTTTTTTGGATTAAAATTTTCGGGAGCAAAATAATAAAGCTGAGTCGTTGCGAAATTTTGGGCCCGATTTTAAAACCCCCTCCTTGAAAAAATCCTGCGTACGCCACTGCAACTAGGCCTACTAGTAGTAATACTATACTTTTTGTAGAAGTACTACTAGTAGTAGTAATGTTAGAACTAGGCCGAACACTATCCCAGGTAAACAAAACATTTAGATTGTCTTTCTCGTAGACCCTACCAGTGAAATGTTTCCGATGTGGAATATATTAAAACATAAATCACCTTTTGGTTTCAGGCGATGGCAAACTATCAGTAAAAAGACAGGATCACTTCCTCGGCGATCTAAATGTAAATTACATACGCTATCTTTCCTCAGCTTCGCCTTGGAATGATAACTACACGTACATCTAGATCGCCTCGGAATTACAGGGCCCATGACATCGAAAAACAAGTGTATTCCTGTTGGTGTGCAGTCCTGCATACATCTCATATTTTGATAAGTAAACTTCTGAATTTGTTTCATAGATTTTTAAATATTTTTTTAAATATTTGTTTTTCAAACTTGCTAAGCTTCACCCCAAATACCTCCAGATTTCATTCCCCTTGTGCCATCATCTGTCTGTCAGTCATCAATGAGCTAACTTGAGAAAGTGATAGGTATTTTTGCCGACGTTGACCACCTGTTACAATACGTAATACAGTAGCAACATACAAGTTGCTATGTCAGACATGCTGTATCATCACCAGGAAGACAAAGGCAATGATGATGTATTGTACATAATTATGTATGGAAGCATGCAATTCTATTATGAACGTGTGCTAAGCTGGGAGAAATTACATACCATTGTCTATTCTAGAATATTAGTTTAGTCTGACATGTCTGACATAGCAACTTATATGTTGCTTTTGTTGTGGTATTGTAACATGTGGTCACCTTTGGCAAAGTTACATGCCACTTTCTCAAGTTAGCTCATTGATGACTGACAGATGATGTCACAAGGGGAATGAAATCTGGAGGTTTTTGGGGTGGAGCTTAGCAAGTTTGAAAACAAATATTTAAAAACATATTTAAAAATCTATGAAACAAATTCAGAAGTTTACATATCAAAATATGAGATGTATGCAGGACTGCACACCAACAAGAATACACTTCTTTTTCGATGTCATTGGCCCTTTAAGTGATACTGGATTGTCCCATCACCTTCACCCACGGTAATTATTTGCTTACTAGGTCAAGTAGACTAGACCTTACAAAACTTACGAGTATCTCGTCCCGCCCGCCTCATTTGGCCGTTACCTCCTTTCTATTTAGACTACTACTACTTACTAGTACTTCTATTCAGAAATAAAGGAACAAAAAAAAAAAAAAAAAAAGAAAGAAGCAAAGGCAGCTAATATACAATATCGCGTAGAATCAGCTTAAATATGGTGAGTTCTGGTTTGAACTAAATTTTACCGTAAAAATCAAAGATAGCAGAAAGCGTAGCCAGTGAAAAGGATCTATTTTGGTCCGGCAGTTCACCAGCGTAGCAGAAGATTTGGTCGCCTTCGGTCACGTTGTAAAGGAGGAAACTATTATTACGGAATTCACCGTCAAGACTCGTCGATGAGAAGGAAATCGGTCTCGATGACGAAAGAGTTTGACCGATGGATACCTTGACGTCATCTGGAGACAGTGTTTCTCCTTCGATTTCGGCGTCGGCTGCGCAGTAGACATAAGCGAAACCGGGATTGGTTCGAGGGATCATGAGTCGGAAATTATCTTTAGAATGAGATACAAGAAAGAAACAATAACAAACCAAATCTAGCATCATATCTCACAGTAACTACATAAATTTGTTTATTAAACAATTATTTCAAATGTAATGCTCATTGTGTAGGAGGCGTAATTTTGATTGCATCAGTTACTGCGCTAATCCAAGTTAGTAAATTAGGTTTGCCCCACATGTGTCGTGCAGCTGCTATGTTCATTTCGTTGATTTTCTTTGTACGACGCGGTACGACGCCATTCCCTATGCGCCATCCCCACACTGCGCTTCAGAGACAGCACCCCATTCGTTGATGCGGTCTTGCATCAGGCATGAATTGATTGATGACGCCTTGTGTGCAATGGACATAAGACTAGAGTGACATTTGAAGACACATAAGCAAATTGATAAATGTAATTTGACTCACAAATTCCTTTCTGGCAAATCATGTTTCTGTCTACTGTACAGCGGTCATCGTCCCATTGTCCATGTTTGTCATTACTTCTGCTCGACCAGAGGCAAGCACAATTTTGATCTCGACCCCTATTATCTGGTTGACCTTGGGCCCAACCATCATATCTAATATAAAACAAAGAACAATCAAATACATGACAATTGCAATAACAATGAAATACCCCGGCTTGCCAATGTGAGCAGATACTATTAATGGTATTCAGGGGCGTAAATCCCGGGGGGGGGGGGCGGCAACCCCCCTGACTTGAAGTAGGGGGGATGGCCTGTACAATCATCCCCCCCCCCTGATATTTCAACAACAAAAAAGAGAGAAAAAAAAAGGAAGAAGAAGAAGAAGAAAAAAAAAACTGTGATTGTTTCAATTTCAGCATAATGCATGAGAAATTAGTTATTTTTTGTATGTATGTATAACTGTATAGCCTACACGTATACAGTATGTCACTATCATTAAGAATTGTTGCGCGACGTGCGCGAACAAGCACTTCGTAAACTTCAGAATAATAAGAATCCCACTATATACACAAAATGCGTTGGGCCGCGCCCCGGCTGCTAATTTTGTTTTCCCAAACAGGTTTGCCAATGCTAATATTTCCGGTCATCTGATTGGCTGATATGTTACGTCATTAGCAATGACGTAACCGTTAGGGTGAGTGATAGGGGTATAGAAATCATGCAGAATCACTTCATCAACCCATCGTTGGCTTAATCGGTAAGGTCAGCGTAATGCAATCATATAGTTGTGGGTTCAAGGCCGGCCACGCAGTCTTCTGCATATTGCACCGCATGCATGCTCGTCTCGCGCTAGCAATGCAGAACAATTTTTCCCGCTGCAGGGCTGCAATGCATGATGTTTGTGTAGGTCTATGAATGAATTAATTTGTTGTTTATATTGAATAAATTGAATTGAATTCAGATAAATAGGGCTTAATAAGAGTCGAAAGCGGTGCAACGAATCGTCTTCTTTCTATAACTATTAAATCAAACGTCTAAGCTTTTCGCGCTTCGCGCGGGAAGGGGGAAACTGAATTCAAACAAGGATTAAGAGTCGAGAACAGTACACCCAATCGTCTGCTTTCTCAAATAATTTAAGGAAACGTCAAGGCTTACGCGCTTCGCGCGAGAGGGGGAAACTGAATTCAGATAAATAAGGCTTATTAAGAGTACATCGAATCGTCTGCTTTCTCTAATAATTTAAGGAAACGTCAAGGCTTCCGCGCTTCGTGCGAGAGGGGGAAATTAAATTCAGATAAATAGGGCTTATTAAGAGTCGAAAACGGTGCAACGAATCGTCTTCTTTCTATAATAATTAAATCAAACGTCTTAGCTTTTCGCGCGGTAGGCCTATCGCTCATACCCCCTAATGTGTGTGTGTATGTGTGTGTTGTGTGTTTGTGCGTGCGCGATCGCGCGCGCTTGCGTAAATTGGGCGTGTGCTCGTGCTAGTATGTGATGGCTATCGCCGATCATCCCCCCACTCCTCGGTACGGATTTACGCCCCTGATGGTATTGCAGACTAGTCACTCCTAAAAGACTAATGCTGGTTAAATATTCGGTTATATGACATAAATAACCAGGGAATCATAACCGTTAACTAGAAACGTGGATTCCTCATAAATTCTGACAAACTTCATCGCCCCACATGGATATCAAAAGTCAAAATACTAATAGGCTAACAGTCAAATGACATGAATTTTTCCTACAAGATTAATCAAAGAAATGCACTCATTTTACTGTCGATGTCGTGATTATAGTACTTACATCACTGGTGTGCTGTCAAGCCATCTGAATTGACCTTCGACCTCTCTGTCATTGCAACCAATCCAAAAGCACCGCGTATCTCTTAAAGGCGGAGTGATGAAACTCGTCAAGAAAGCCTGCATTGATATTGAAAAATACAAAACATACGACTCACTTCCCATTCCTAAAACCAAAATAATCACCAAGAAAAGTTATATGGCCTGATCGTAACATGATATTGAATAGAAACTATTTAACAAAAGTGAAACATTCTCGAGATCTTCTATGCGTGGCATCACTCGAATGTAAAATGGTACACATGTGCAATTTTTTTTTTTTTTTTTTTTTTTTTTTTAGGAATCGGACATTTTTTTAAATATTGAATGAATATTAACCCTTGGACATGAGGCGTCATTGTTGACTGAAAGCTGTATCTGTGACTAGCGCAGGGTTTGGGTTTCCTGTGCGAGTGACGTTCAAGAAGTAAATCGTACACAGATAGTATTATATTACTCGCCCTTACACTAGCCTTTACACAAGGCTTCATGTCTGATAGACGCCGAGCTACTAAAAAGAGGCTAATCGCGAAAACCCAAGTGAACGCCAGAGCGAGTGGCTTCACCCAAGAGGCCTATAGTAATCTGGTTTGGATTTATTTTGTTAACCCTTGCTTCCAACTGGAGTTCTCTACCGAAATTGTAGCGTCCAATCAGCGAACGTATCGCGTGACGTCGGCATATATTATCCATCACGTTCACAGTAAACTTATAGAATACCTATAAAATTGAACAAAACGAGTTGGACTGGTTCATTTTGTATACAAGGAAAGTCCAATTATCTCACTTACAATTGTTAGCTCAAGTCATCAAATGTTTTCTATTTTATTGTAATTTTGCATGTAAAGTAGATTTGGATGTGATATTTTGTATTAATCATTTATATGTTCATCTCATAAGCAAATCTAGTTTACGTCTTTTACCATTTCTTTCATGTTTTGAAATGAACGAATCACGAACGAAATAAACTGGGAGATGGCCATTCTAATTGGTAAATAAATCCAAGTCATGAATAATTCATGCAGAGCAGAAAAAACAGAATTCAAAAGGCCTCGCGGCTAACGCTACTCGATCGCGCGTTCACCCCGGCTCTCTAGACTCATCTCAGCCGCTGATTGAGGTGGAAAACAGCCAGAGTCAAGAGGCCTTGACAAAAGGCTACCCTTACATTAACTGCCTTCGTATGCTCTCTTAGCGTAGGTAATGCGCAATCCTCATGACTGTAATAGATTTTATCACATGCGCCTGGAACAAGGCAATTATTATCACAGCGCCGTTCATTTTGCATTCACTCTTTTTTTTACTAAAAGTATCACCCTCATAATTATGTTGCTACTTCAGAAATCGTTTTGAATCGTGTTTATACCTGGATCTCGTCTGAGTCAACCCTTGCTAGATTCGCTCCGTAACCTTGACAGAGAGCCTGCGCCTGATCGTAGTCTAATCGGGTGATGCTGTCCACTAGATAGACTGCGTCATCCAGTCGGTGCCATTCTGACTGACTTGTTACTGTATAATGATATGATAGTGACAGTTTCGAAATCATAAGGCGGCTGCATGTAATACCTGACGCAGCAGGACATTGAAACAGCACATATAGTTATTAAACAGCACCCCATGGTAGGATGAACTGGAAGTGATTTCCCCTTTTTAACAGGGCGCTGAAGGGTGGATTTTCACTAGTAAAAATGAGGTCTTTACATTTCTGGGTGCCCTTTCACCCCAGCACCATCTAATGCAGGGGATAAGTCCACCCCTGAAACAAACAAAATAAGGGGGGGGGGGGGGGGTGCTGCAGCGTCCCCAGCACCCCCGGTTCCCAAGATGAATAAAGGTCAATTAAACTAAGAATTAAAAAAAACATATGCGCGTAGCAGTGAATACTTTAAAGTTTGTAACATGGTATTCGGTCTGTCCTTTAAAAGTAACCTGTAAATATTCAATCGTTCTTGAATAATATTTCACAAGTAATAAGTAAAGCACACACACAAAAAAAAACAGAACAGAAATATATAATAGTAAAAAAGTATATTCTTACCCCCTTGTAAAGACACGATGGCTGCAATGATGATAGTAACGAACAATGTCTCCTCGGAGCTGAACTTCATTTTAAATCAAAAAATGGATGCGAGTTGATGTCAGAAGCTATTCATTTATGATTGAATTTCAAAATGTGTGTACATAGACAGAAAGCGAAATGATCGTTGACGTGTCTCGCGCTGCAATGACCTAAAACAAACTTGATACCTTCCGTTTTGTTTCCTGGACTTGTTGACATTGATTTTCCTCCTTCAGTTTGCTACATCACCCTGTTTTATTTTAGAATAAAAGTAACCGTGTCTTTCCATGTTCATGTTTCCATATAATAATTTAATTTATGTCTTTGGAAGACGGAGAGCCTACTTGTGAGCAAAAGACTAACTTCTGAGTTTAATTATTTGTTTTCTGTTTGTTTTCCTGAATGCACATTGGAAGAAAATAATCATAATGATAACGGCGATGTTGATGAATGATACCAAAAGCAATAACAAAAACAATACTTACAATAATAATAACAGTAATAATGATGATAATAATGATATTAATACTAACTAAAATAATGATCGTAGTAGTAGTAATAATACATGTAATAATAACAATAATACTACAACATATTAAATTACTACTACTAATAATATTAACAAAAATATAATGAAAAGAAGAAATTGGTAAACAGATAAATAATTAATTAATAAATGAATGGATTAAAATAAAATGGGTAAGACATCAACATCATCCTAGGAGTAAGATATTAACAATTGTTGTCTACTACTAACGCTCATGTTTACAGTTACTTCAGATACCTTTGATTATCATATTCATATTGTAGTCCGCGGGATGTAAAATAGTGCATCATGACAAGCAGATATCATGGTACATACATGTACAAATCCTCTAATAGCTGATGTAATTTTGTTTCTGTTTACTACTGAGTTCCTTTCAGTATGGTTTTGCTTGTGTTTGTTTATGTTTATGTAAGGTCTATGGCTTATGACATTTTAAATGACCAATGTTTGTAAATATTTGAAAGATTTTCTCAGTGTCAGGTTCGATTTCATACTTGTCAGCGAAATCTGTATTTGAAAACCTGCAATATTCTTCGCATATATGACAAATAAGGTGAGGATTTTATGGTTCTTCTTACCCTATTCTAAATTTGAACTGTAATCGACAAGAAAAAAGGGTATGCTTACAAAAGACCAGCTAAAAAGTTCAGTTTCGATTTAAAAAAGAGGTCATATTTCATCTTATATATCAGTTTTATTTACTCGAAATATAATGTTAGTAATAAAACAGAGGTCTTATAAATAAACATGAATACATAGCTATATTAAATAAATTGGTATTTTTGTAGGAATTGAAAAGTCAATATGTTGAAATTGAATTGAATTGACAAAGTAATATCAAAGTTTGTTGGTTTACGCTTCTAACACCGTTGTATTCAGTCGAGGTGAAAGATATTCCGGCCTTTCATTTTCATATTAGTACTGTCAGTTAGGTAATATTGATACAAGTCGGAAGGAGAGGATTTCTGTACTTCCGTCTTTTTAGTATTGAAGATACAGGAAAGAGTTAGCTCATGTTTTTAAAGTAGACTATAATATGGCGTAGCCATGCCATGACTTTATTTTATTGGCATTGGAAATTATGTATAACTATTAGTGAAGACAATAGAGGTTGGGATTATCTGTTACGTCGTGGATGCAGAGTTTTACATAATAGAGCAATTTCTACAGTTACATTGTTCGAAATTCACCAACGTGATACTATCTTATATATGGAAAATCCAGAAATATTTATTTATTTATTATTATTATTATTATTTTTTTATTTATTTTTTGTTATAATTATTTTTTTTATAATTTTTTTATTATTATTATTATTATTATTATTATTATTATTATTATTATTATTATTATTTATTTATTTATTTATTTATTTATTATTATTATTATTATTATTATTATTATTATTATTATTATTATTATTATTATTTTTTTTTTTGGGGGGGGGGGGGTATCTGGGAGCAACCAACTACTACTAGTGGGTTCTTGTGTAGCGCTCATGTATGTCAGACTTGACACTCCTGAGGCTCCACAATACTGCTCCCGCTTAGTACGGCTGCCATAATTGTGCTCTTATCTAGCGTTTCAAGGAATTCCTGCCAGGTACCCATTTTCCTCACCTTCGTCGAGTGTTGCAAATGTAGATGAATGTTTTGTCAAGGGACATTAGTGCCGCATCGAGACTCGAACCGCCAACTATGTAATCCTCAGTCCGGTGACGTATACACTAGACCACGGCGACACCCAGGCTTGCCGGAAGCAGTTTAAGGCCTTTTTTTTGGGGGGGGGGGGGGATATTCCAGGCGGCTCACCTTTCAGGGGCAGTGGCGTAATGAGCAATAAGAAAAATCTGCAACACCATCACTCTTACATGTTACAAGCAGGCCCCGCGAAACGTTTTATTCAAAGTGGAGTATTAACGATCAGGTAGCGAAGCGAGTGGAGCATTAATTGGCGCGGGTCCAGGGGCTTTGGGAGCTCAGGGGTTTTTGGCATTAAATTACAGTCATATAAGCATAATTAGATACCGTATTTTTGACAATGGCGGTTCAATAATTGGCGTGGATCCAGGGGGCTGAGCCCCATGAAGCTCAAGGGTTTAAGGCATTTAAGTATGGACAGATGAGCATTCAGGTGCCCGTCTTAGGGCCCTTAATTAGTGGGGGCTAGGGGGTAGAGCCCTCGGAAGTATACCGCAATAAAAAACTGGAAAATATCAGCCCAAACAGGGAGAAAAAAAAGTTAAGAAAAAGAAGGGATAACAAACATTTCAGACCGACCGACCCTTGTTATGGAACTTAAAGGGCAATACAACAACATTGTTTAGGCCTAACAAAGGCCGCGTCCCACCTACCGATAAAAAGAACATAACGATATAACTACATGTACAAAAATTACACACACTTTTTTTTTCTTCAATTTTTTTATTATGAGATTTCAATTAAAATAAATCATTTCATAAAAATAAATGTAAATAATTCCTTACAAATACACATCTCCATTTCGTTTTCATAACATTAATAAATTATTCACAAAACAGTGAGCAAAGTAGGAGAATAATGGAATGAAATCACTAAATTTGTGTAATAGTTAATAATCACATACTGAACTTAATTACCATTATTCATGAAAAACGAACTTTAAAAAATTATTCATATTTGTATACAATGCACCATAAGCACGACATCCCTCCACCCCTTCTACTACTTAACCCCCCCCCGTAAACATTCACGTTCACTCGCACCTTACAAAACATACACGGATTCACAAGCGCACACTGGAACTCCAGCCAATCATCCTCACTCACAAGACCACACCCAAGACACTCCCATTACACCAAACACAACACTTATCTACTCATCATATAGAACACTATACAAATACTCCATTCACAGAACAGCACCCACCCATACATCTAACCGCATACCTAACATCCTAACTCCTAAAAATATATCACATTCACACTCACACACACACACGCACACGTTAATTTAGACCTTGATACATTTTTTTTTCTTCAGATGTTTCTGCATTAATCGAAAAGTCAAATACAAAATATTCAAGTAACATGTAATATAATTTAATTACATAAAAAGTAACGAATGAAATATACCCCCCAAAATGCTTACATATAATTGAAAACTTGAAAGTATGGACGCAAGTCAAAGAATCAGGATAAATGCAGAGGCCAACTATCATAAGCATGAATGCTTGAGTCGATAGCAGCCGGGCAAGGAGGGGGAGGGGGGAGATACATGACGCATCTAGTTTATACATCCACTTATAACACTCTGTGCATGAATGAATATACAGTGCGTCCCAGAGAAACGAAACCGAGAATTATCCATTTTCTATCATAACTTAATCACAATTATGATTAATAAATGACACATATTTTGTAAAGCTTAGATCCTCTTTCATTTGATGCAACTCATATGATGCATATTTCACGCATGACTGATTAAAAACAATTTAAAGAAAGGGTACCAAAAAGTCATTTGGCGAACGGTATCTGAATTTCGAAGACTTCTGCCCTTTTATATGACACCTCAATCAGGAAAAAAAAAAAAAAAATTACTAACAACTGATAATTAGAACAAATTACATATGGATGGAAAGATTTTCTCTTGAAAAACACGAATTATTTGCTGAGAAATCATATAGATATCATGGAAAGGCGTAAAATGCAATTTTTCAAGACCCTTCTTAGACCCCCAAGCGCCCCCGAACGTAAGCCAAACACACGAGCGTAGCGAGCTCTGAATAGTGACGTCACACCCTGGACAAACAGCTCGCATACTCGCATACCGCTCGCATACCGGAGTCGCGCGTGTATTAGTCTGCAGCTAGACAACCGTGTCCAGGGTGTGACGTCACAATAGTGACGTCATACGAAGGACTGCTGAAGGCAGTAAATCTGGATCTCAAAACTAACATATTTGAAAGTTGATTTCTGCGGGCCCCAAATATATTTTGAAGAGGAAATTTGTTGTATTTGATCAGTAAGGCTTCCCCTTCACAATGATATGAATTTTGCATCAATTCAATACACTTTTGCTTCTTGGTGTGACTCCTTTAAAGTAATGCTTGTATTTCCATAATTGTATTAAACGAATCCGTTCCACTGGCTGTCTGCCCTAACAACAAAGAAGACGAAAGACGTAATGCATGGCTGATCGTCAACAAAACGGAGTTTGTTGTTTGTTGCTACGGCAGGCAGCCAGTGAAATAAATTCGTTTAATAAAATTATGGAAATGCAGTTTATTTCAATTTCAATTTATTCAGCCAATCATTAAAAACAACTTACAATGACACTGGAACTTGTACAATTTTACCATGATGACAGGCTATGGACCCCTGAGAAGCAGAGCTTGTAAAAGGGGCCCATTAACACACAATTATATACAGATATAATGAAAACATACTATAACAAGCAAAACAAAAAAAGAGATATATGTATATTCATACTTATTACAAAACACTTACAAATATCTTGCAAACACACTCAGCCATACTTACTTACACACACACACACAATACAATGTACACTGTCGCTCATAAAGTTGGAATATATTTGTT